AGAAATATTAGGTGGGGTTTGGTTACTCTATTGATAGCATTTCTTCTACCTATGTAAAAATTAAGAGAGATGTCCAATTCAAGGCTCTAAAGTGGAGGAATTTTAATTCTACCAGGCATCTTATTCTAGCTTTTGGGATTGGTCACCGGTTTCTCCTCTAATCCCGCTTATCACATTGCTTTCTCAAACTCATTTGGAGTATCATTTTGCTAGTTTCCTAGGAGTTTCTCTATCAAATATTTGGTATTTCACGATGCCTCTTTCTACTTTCGTTGACAATAATCAATGACACATTATTGCTATGCTTTGACACCTTGGATGGTCCATGTGGCAACCAGGGGGGCCACTTTTCTCCCTTTTCTACACATAACATGATGCAATCTCTATATATGTGCTAATTTTGTCGCATGCCAACCATTTTGAGTCCATAAGGGTATGGATCTCTACCTAGTTTTTGTCTTTGTTTATTTTCTATAAGCTTTTGAACATTGCTAAATTTTGTTGCAGCTCAGTTTTTCTCTCTAACCCATTATTGAGTTGTAATTTTCTGTCTTTTCTAGACTTTCTATAATTATTTATCATAGTAAACAAAATTGGACTCTGCCCCTAACCTGAGATAGAGCAAAAAATTAATTTATAGAATTTTGACAAATACATATATAAGATATTGACTATTCCCATGGCTCAATTCAATCTCCCTTCTAATGCCCCGGTGTCGGCTATAATTCAAGGAGGCTCATGGTGCATCCCCTCTACCTTTCCTATGGATATTAGTAGGGCTATTTTTTCGACTTTTATCAACTCTGATGCTGTGAATGGTATTACCTAGAAGAATCTAGATAGGCCTATTTTTAAAGTCTTCATTCATGAGTTCTTTTCTGATTATCAATTGACAAACTTCCATACTTTTATTTGGCATAAGGGTTATACTCCTATATTTTCTTTCTTCACTTGGATTGCTATTATGGGTGGTTTAAAATCTATAGATTATTACAAAAGCGGAGTATTCTAACTCATACCTATTTTGCTCAGCTAGATGAATAATTAGTCAATTAGCCATCTATTTTTTGAATGCGAGCACTCATTCAACATTTATAATTACTTCATTTCTTGGGCTTTTTCATTTCTCCTTAGGCCAAAAATTATGCAACTATTTAACTTCATCTCTAAAAGTGAGAACTACACCTCCTTAGTTAAAAGCTATACTATTTGGTGACTACCTTCTTTATATATTATATATGAAAGAAAAGAAATGCCAGACAATTCAATTACTCTATTGATCATATATCTTCTACTTGTGCAAATATTAAGAGAGTTGTTCAATTCAAGCATCTTAAATGGAGGAATTTTGATTATATCAGACATCTTATATTCTAGCTTTTGGGATTGGTCTATTGTTTCTCCTCTGAACCCGCTTATCACGTTGCCTTCTCAAACTCCTTTGGAGCTTCAATTTGCTGGTTTCCTGGGGGTTTCTTTGATTAAATTTTGGTATTTTACGATGCCTCTTGCTACTTTCATGGACAATGATGAATGACACTTTCTTGATATGCTTTACCCTCTTGCAGTGTCCATGTGGAAACCATGGGGCCATTTTTGTCTCAAATTTACACTCACAACATGATGTAATCTCTATAGTTGTGTTAATATTTTGTCTACTGCCAACTATTTGAAGTCTACAAAGGCATGAATCTCTAACTCATTTTTTGACTTTGTTTATTCTCTATAAGCTTTTGAGCATTACTATTTTTTTTTTACAACTCATTGTTTCTCTTTAACCCATTATTCAATTGTAATTTTCTTCCTTTTTTAGTGTTTCTGTAATTATTTATCATAGTAAATAAAATTGGGCTTTGCCCCTAAATTGTGCTTTTTCTATCTCTCATTTTTTAAAGAGGATTTGTGCTTTTGTCCCCTCTTTGAGAAGAAATTTTGACTTTAAAGTTATTCACAATTATTCTCCTTCTTTATTTTGAGACCCTTGGTGCGAGGAAAAATCCATATATAAGATATTGACTATTCCCATGACTCAACTCAATATCCTCTTTAATGCCTTGATGTCAGTTGTAATTCAGGGATGCTCATGGTACATCCCTCTACCTTTCCTCTGGATATTAGTAGGGCTATGTTGGTGACTGTTATCAACTCTGATGTTGTGAACATGAAGAATCTAGATAGGCCAATTTTGTAAATCTTCAGTCATGATTTCTATTATGATTATCAATTAACAAACTTCCGAACTTTTATTTAGCATAAGGTTTATTCTATCATATTATTATGCTTCAACTAACTTGCTGTTGTGGATGGCTTAAAAATTGCAGATGTGCTACTGAAGCAGAATAGTCTAACTCCTCCTACATGTTCGCTATGCCATATGCATAATGAGTCTATTAGCCATCTCTTTTTGGATGCGAGCACTTAATCAATATTATTAAATACTTCATTCATTGGGCTTTTTCATTTCTCATTAGGCCTAACATTATACAACTATTAACCTCATATCTGAAAGGGAGAACTACACCTCTTTGGTTAAAAAGCTCTACTATTTGGTGACTACCTGTTCTATATATTATATATGGAAGGATAGAAAGGATAGGCGGTTCAATTCCTCTTCATTTTGTTGGTTTCTACGGGATTTCTCTAACGAATTTTTGGTATTTCGTGATACCCCTTGCTGCTTTTGTGGATAATAATGAATGACACTTTGCTACTATGATTTGCCCCTTTTGATGGTCCATGTGGCAACCAAGGGGATGCTTTTGTCTCAATTCTACACTCACAACATGATGCAAACTTTGTAGCTATGCTAATTTTAGTATTTTGTCTTGTGCTAACTAGGGGTGTCAATATTTGACAAGACATGAAAACCCGACCCGGACCCGACCCGAAAAATCCGGGTTGCACCTGACCCGATTTAAAAACGGGTCGGGTTCGGGTTGACCAGACGGGTTGGTGGGTCAACCCGGAACTACCGCACGCCTGAGTCCGCCGTGCGCCCCGCGTCTGCCCACCTGCGCGCCCTGAGTTCGAGCTCGGGTCCCGTGTCGGGTCAGGTCAACCCGACGGGTCGGGTCCGGGTCCGAGTTTTTGACCCGTTTGCCTACCCGGGTTGGGTTAGGGTCGACCCGATTGAACCCGGGTCAGTTTCGGGTTCGACCCGAACCCGACCCGTGACCCAAAATTGACACCCCTAGTGCCAACTATTCCGAGTCTACAGGGGGATGAATCTCTACTATTTTTTTTGTCTTTGTTTATTTTCTATAAACTTTTGAGCATAAATAAATTTTGCAGCTCATTATTTTTCTGTAACTCATTATTGAGTTGTAATTTTCTATTTGTTTTTAGCCTTATTATAACTTGATTATAGTAAATAAAATTAGACTTTGCTCCTAAATTTTCTATATAAAACAAAAACACTCTGCATCTCTTCTTTTCTCATCGAGTCCTTAACAAGTTTCTGAGTTTTAAAATGCATACACACGTGCAAACATGTACAAGCGTGTGAACATGTGCACATATATTATTTGATACATATGTAAGTGCAATATGATGTCACATTAATTTTCTTTTTTTACCTTTGTGTTAAATGGTAGTCAAAAGCTCTTATTTAATTACTTTATTATATTTGATATGATTGAAACTATTATAGTTAACTAGATTAATAAATTAAATATGAAAATATCCAAATCAATGTAATGCTCAAATGTCAGGTGGATTGATCATGAGCTCATAGTTTTAGCTCAGTTCTCAAAAAATATATATATATATTTTTGAACTATCACACTAATGTTCGTTGTCAGATCTCAATTTCTTAACGAAAAAAGTGAAGGATTGCGATAAACAATCGATTGTCAGCATAAAACTTATTGAATAATCATGACGGGACTATTGTATCAAAAATTTGTTCTTTTATGATGACTATTCTTACAATATTTAAGTGACATTATGCTCATTTTATAAAATATATTTTATAAAAATTATTTTAAGAAGCAATAAAAAAACCATCCCAAATGAAGCCTCAATATCATGCATGAATCACTAAGCTGTAAGTTTCAAACTTCTTGTGTGAAAGATTGAAAATATATCGAATGATTTATTTAGTATTAACTCAATATTCATACATGAATCATATGATAAGATGGCTATCAAACTTTTTGTGTGAACGATTGAAAATATGTTTGGATATTTTTCATAAATTATGAGGCTTTATATAGGATTGATGGTAATATAAGTTAGGCTTCATTTCAAACATCTTTACTATTTTTTAAAATATCTTTCTAAAACAAAAAAAAATAAATTTTTTGTATGAGAAAACTGCTTCAAAAAATAATAATAAAACTGTCACAAATGAAACCTTGATTTTTGAAATTATAAGAATGAATTTAATAGAGAGATGAGATAGAAAATAGAGAGTTGAGATAGAAAATAAGGAAAAATAAAGAAGAAATTCATAAAAAAAAATTATTTCTAAGTCTTTGAAATATCATCTAAATGAACTAATGATTTTTTATTTATTATTTTTGAAAAACTTCTTAAGTGAACAATTTTTAATAATTATTTAATCATCTCATAAGATATCCCTCTCTTACTGATCTTAGAGATTTGATTGAGACCTCTTTCTTTTTTTTTTTTTTGAATAAATTTTTAGAGATTAGAGAGAGTCGCCTTAGATGGTTTGGTCACATAAAACGGCGGCCTTCCAATGACCCGGTTAGGAGAGTAGAGGTATTAGATTTGACTTATGTTAAGAAAGGTAGAGGCAGACCTAAAAAAGACTTGGTTAGAAAATATTATGAATGACCTTTCTTTATTAGATTTAAACGAGAATTTGACCTTTAATAGGACACAATGGAGAAAGGATTCATGTAGCCGACCCTACGTAGTGGGATAAAGGCTTGATATTGTTGTTGATAATTTTTTAGAGATTAGCTCAAATACAAAAGGAAATGCAACATAAAACACTTGAGATCTAACCTTGGAGAAAGTCAAACAAACCAAGGAGAAATGAAAAACAAATTAGAAATTTAAGTTTGCAAAATGCCAACATGTGTTATACCACCCTCAAGAAACATTTTTGAAATATCCCAACCATCAATACAATAGAGATGCCATGGAAAAGCAAAACAACAAACTTTCTCTTTGTTACCTTAAACTGATGTGAGAAGACACAGATCAATAATGAGTGAGAGGAATACCAGTGCTTGCTCTTGCAGCAAAGATGACAGCACTAAGATCCTTCATTTACCTCCATACTTCGACTCGTTCTGCCTCGCGCTCAGCCCTCGAGTTTATATTGTTCATGATCCTAGTGCCCTTTAATTTCTCAACCATAACTACAGCTTGATCCAGTGATTGCCCCTTGGATCTTCTTCTTCCTCTCTTAACATTCAAATTACTCAACTTGCTCGCTCTTCTCTTACATTTTTCCTCAGCTAACACAACTTTCTGCACTTTAGTTGCAAAGCCATCTGAGCGCAGAGGGACCTCATGGAGCTCCTGTGAAACTAATTTGTTCCATGAGGCTTGAGAACTTTGAACCGTTGAATCTTCGGATGGACCTTCCACAGATGTTTCATGTGGCAGGAAAACTGTTTTTTCAGTCTCTTCTGAGTCTATTCCCCTTCTATCTTCCAGTCTGAGCTTCACACTTGGCTGTTTATCATCATCATCATCAGGCCATAAAGAGGCAACTGAAGCATAGTCAGAAGTGGCTTCCTCTCTTTCTTTAACAGTTCTCACAATTAGCATCTTGAGAAAATTCATTACATGTACAACATGCATTATGGCAGTCATGGGATCAGCCATCTGCAGGGTTGAATACAAATTATATCTGATGCATCAGATTGAAAAAATGGTTAAGGCTGCGTTTGGGCGGCTTTCATATTGCTTCTAAAAACAGCTATCTAGTTTTTGTCCTAAAAAATTGCTTTAATTAGTAATAAAACTGTCCCAAACGAAGCCTAAGTCACTGATGAAGTCAAGAGATGGAATTACCTGAGTCATGTTCGGCGCAAACACTACCGCAATGTTGCGAGCATTCATCTTGTTCCGCTGCTTTTCCTGTACAACATCAGCCATCAGATTAATTGCCCAATCCAGGAGAGCAGCCTGAGTTGGTGGGAGGAGTTTCATAAGGCGAGTGCATTCTTCTTCTGATTGGCAGTGCATCAACACCTCAGGTTCAAGATAATCGAGCACCCCAGCTGGAAGTTCTCTGAACCAGGCCTATATAAGTAAAATGAAATAGAAAAGAGGTAAATCCTTTATATGAATAAAAGACAACAAGAACCAGGCATATACAAGCAAAAACAATCAGGCTTATAGCATCATTATCCTAGCTTTATCCTAATTATTTGGGGTTAGATATACAAATTTTCATTCTCCATTCATGCATGGGTAATGTTGCAAGAGGTGTTAAACCCCTTTTATACATATCATTTTGGAGAACTTCTAATTTACCTTTAATATACCGATTTGGTTCATAATTATTCAACATTAACATTATAAAACTCAACAATGCATATTCTACTTTCATTGTACATGCAGAAACCACTTATTTCTATATCTAACTACTTTGGCCAGTCTCACAATCTCTATAATATAACCATTTCTAAATCTATTCTTCTTATCTATCACCACTTAATTTATGTATTCTTGTCCAACGGTCAAATCCATACAACATAATTTTGGTGCATTGAAGCAGCAGAAATAGAGAAGGCACATGTTATCAGAGAGGAGAGAATACCTATAAAATGAATCAACCCTTAAAATGAGAAAAAGCCAAAACTATCTTGCAGTATAACACATTAGTAAAATTTTAAAACCTTTATTTATTTATTTATTTATTTTTGAAAACCTTTATTTAATTCAGAAAAGAGAACTGAGATTGAGGCTTTGTTTGGGACAGATTTATTATTGCTTTCTAAATCAACTTTTTATACAAAATTTTTTAAAAAAATTGGCTTTCTTATTGGTTTCTAAATCAGTTTTTTAGTACAATTGTTTTTTAAAACTAAAAAATTTTGTACTAAAAAACTGCTTCAGAAAACATTAAGAAAACCATCCCAAATGAAGCCTGAATGCAGTTGGATGACGAGATTACCTTGATTAATCCTGCGAGACAGTGCACATCAATGCCATCAAGGATAATTCCATTATTTAGCTGGTCCCTAACATGCTCCTCTTGACTATTCTCTGCTGTGATTCTGAATATTCCTTCTACCTGAAATATTAAGAAGTTTGTTGATATTTGGATATCAGATTTATGATTTCAGTCATTAAGGTTTTGTGTGAAGGATACCCGAAGTCCCCCTTGTTGATAGAGGCGTCTTTGCATAAGCAAGAGTATTGTTGGGACACTGTTTCCTCTGGGATCCAATGAGCATTGCATAGACTCTGCTGACACTCCAAACACATTCACACTACACAAAAGAAAGAAAGAGAACTGAATTGGCAATCGAATAAAATGATTATTTCTCAGCAATACAAAAATTGAAATTTAATATGCAAAGATATGCCCTACAATCAAACTATACAGGTAGGTGAGCTAGAGAATAATTTAAAGAGCACATTAGTCATCTGAGAAGAATAAGATGGATAAGAGAATGATGAATGTAGTACAAAATGGAAACCAAATGGGAGATTCTAAAGATAAACATTATATTTAGTTTTAGAAAATTGGAAAGACACAAGTTCAGCTGCTGATAACTAAAGCAATTTGTATTTTCACTCCTGAGCTATTTGATCAAATTTCTTTTATGCATGATGGAGTCTAACAGGTTCATATTATTGGGAAATAAAGAAAACATATACAAAAAAAGAAAGCGAAAAAAAAAAAAACATAGAACACAAAAAAGAAGATCAACACACAAAAACACATTAATTTAATACAAGTTCAACCAATTGATAACTAGGACCTATGGCCATTGTTGGAAACTTCACAATGGTTGCTTGTGGAGATTCACAATTCTAATTTCTTAGAAGTACATTAGATGACGCTCCCCTCTCTTTATAAAGAAAAAATCTTAAGCAAACGAAAAAATAATAAAATTTGCAAAACACCCTTAATGAAATAATAAAAAATATTAGATACCTTTTGAAGACACCCTTAATGAAATAATAAAAATATATTAGATACCTTTTGAAGGCTCCACCTTCAAACTACCTAGGAGGAGAGCATACTACCTCGCTTTCAACCCCCCACAATGACCTAACTACAAAGGTTAACTCATGAGTAAGTCTGCAAAGCATGTGTTCTTCATAGGGAAAAGATTAGGCTCCAACATGAGACACATATAGGGTTATAAAAATACTACATATTCACTCCTTAAAGCTAAGTAAGATGAAGGACCTCCCTAGGCCAAGAAGCAAATTGTCTTCTTTAAGAAAAATGAAGTACTGACGTTGTTAGTGTTAGAGCGCTTTTGAATGTAGCACCTTCTAGATGGGGGAAAAGATTCCAACCATCACGCCACCACAGCTTGCGAAGACACATTTCATTGATGTCAAATAAATGTCTAGAAAAATAGTGAACCTTGTTAGGCCCATCATTTGGTTGTATGTAGTTCGAAATTAACATTAGTTTTAAACACTTCATGTCCCCTCAAAACCACCCTCAAATATAATGATTTAACTTTCACATAAAATATTAATGAAGAAACAATTATTTTCTAAAAGATACTTTATATTTACAAACAACCAAATAAACCCTAACAAGAAAAGAAAATCACTCAGCTTCTTTCTGGCACTGCAATCAAATAATCTAAGCATGACTTAAGCTTTGTTTAGGACGGCTTTCTTACTGCTTCTTAAAACAGCTTTTTAGTACAAACTTTTTAATTTTTCTACTAGAAAGCTGCTTTAAAAAGCAATTAAAAAGCAATTAAAAAGCCATCCCAAACAAAGCCTTAATCACATGCACATATTAGGAAGTCCGCTGATTATGTCCAAGACAGAATGAACTTTGAACAAGACAGCAGAAGCTAATGAACACAAGCTATATTAAACTAAAAATAGAAAGCATCCTATACAAACAACTGCTGATACACATTGTATGTTAATGATGAGATTCAATTAATTAAACCAGCACTCCAAATAAATCACCAAACTTTGGCACTGGAATAATCAAATGTTTCTAATTAGCTCTACATCCAACTCTATTAATTGTTGTATTTACGGCTTCGTTTGGGGTGACTTTCTTACTGTTTTTAAAGCGGTTTTTTTGTACAAAATTTTAATTTTTGTATTGGAAAGCGGCTTTAAGAAGCATGAAGAAAGCCATCCCAAACGAAGCCTAAATCATATCATAAAGCACTTTTGAAATATAATGATGTCAAAAAAGATGGTTATAAACATCTAATGCATTATATAAAGGGATTAACATACAACATGACCAAAACAAACAACTTCCAAATGCTAGAAATCATAAGAAGAACTGAATACTCAAAGATCCCTAGTTATGTTTCTCTTTCAGAAAACAATAGATCGCATTGCAAAATCTGCAATCTTTTATGCTAATTAAGCAAAACAACAGACTCAATCATGCGAGATACGTAATAATTAGTAAAAAATAATTTAGATGAAAATTTTTAAGCTGCCAGATCTGCTGAACTTGTCCAATTACTAAGTAAAAGAGTGTCACAAAATTGAAAAGAACAATAGGGTTTTCAAAGAAACAAAACCTAGCGCTCGGCGCTCGTTGGGGCACCTCGGGCTCAAATTCAATCGGCAATCCAAGAAATCCATGAAAGCGATCGAAGGTTACATGAGCTACGTGGCGTACATCAGTTGGGCATCCGATCTCCATCGAAGAAACAGCACCCTCTTTCAAAGACATGCAACTAACCAGATATTTCCTTAAAACCGCAAGTAAAATAGCCAAAAAGGAGAGCTCTTCCCCTTCTTCCTCCTCGAAAACCCCATGAGAACTCACGGAGCTTAAAAGGGCCGGCTCGCCTCTCGACCCACCGATGTTTGTGGGGTTTCGGAGAAGCGGAGGAAGCACGGCTGCCATGGCTGACAACGGAGGAGTATTCTGAGAAGAGAAAAAAAGCAGGAGTCTGGCTGAAAATATCACAAAAGGTGGGATTTTTATGATTGGATTTTGTGTTGGCTATGGAGGTGTTTGAGTTGGATTAAAGGTATTGGATTGGCGGGGCGAGGGAATCATGGAACTTGCGGTTCTCCTGCTCCGTCCTCCCTGCAAAACTAGAAAAAGAAAAAGGTAAGAAGACAGAAGAGGTTGAATTGAGATGAAGAGCCGCTGAAAAGAGGCAAAATTTATAAAGCAGACGATTTCTAGCTCCTTGAATATATATTATTGCATCAATCAACTGGCCATTCAAACCATTAAAAGCAATAGATAAATTATAATTGATTGCAGAACACTAAAAACATGAATTTTTTTTCTTTCTAAATTGTCGCCCAAAATAGGTAACTTATTTCAATATTATTTTATTTTTTAATACTATTAGTATGATTTTGCATACACTATTTTTGATGTGGCATTCAATCAATGCTTAGAATCAAACTTTAATTTGAATGTAAAAAATCAAACTATGCAAGACAACATGATTTTTGTGATTTTGATAAATTTAAGAATTATTAATATTTTTGTTTCAAGTATTTTTGAGCGACCGGTAGGTTCAATCGGTTCGACCGTGAACCAATCAAGGTTTCGAATTTTGATCCAGTCAAATTCAAAATTTGGATTTGTATCAAACTGGTTTGAACAGTTAGCTGAACTATAAAATCGATAAAACTAGTGCCGATTTTCTATAACCGAACATTTTTAAAAATATTTAATTTTAATTAATTATCTTTTAAATAATATATTTTATTTTATTTATACCTTTTTTAAATTTTAAAATACTGGATCCAAACGGTGGACATAGGCAGGAAGATTGGCGGACATAGGCAAGAAGATGAGAACCTGGGTGGGAAAAATGAAAAACCGGACGGATGCAGATCAAAATGGCGGACGCGGATTTGGATATTTAAACATATAACATAAAATAATAATAATTTATATTAAATTAATAAACTTATATTTGCATTAAATTTATATTAAATATGCAATATAAAATAGTAATAGTATTATGTTATTTTAATTAAATTATTATTTATTACATCATTAGACCCCTTGACCAGTAGAACTGTGAACTTCTTATTATTCTGATTCGTTGTCCGGTCTATTTTTCAGAACCTTGATTTTGAGAGTTTTAAACGCCTAGTTTTAAAGAGATCTTAGATGAAAATTCTAATTTTCATATATAAGAAAAATAAGACAATCTGAATAGTCGTCAAAATTATATTAGACATGGATTTTAATATGCATACAGGGCGTCTTATTATGATAGTAGTAGCAATCTTGACCCAGATATAATTATAAGCACATTGAGTAGCTCTTTCTGTGTATAATTGGGCTTAGTCATTCATTTTTTATGGGCAATTCTATATGTCATTAAAGATCATAAGTTCTACATCTTTCGAAATCAAACTTCTAGAATTCATATGTTTAGAAAATCTAAGTATTTGTTTCTTGTGTTTGAGATGAAGTGATTAACGCTAGATGATGCGATTCATGGATATTGACCAAGTATCACACAATTGGGTTTGTTCAACTTCCTTCTCAACTAAATGATTTCAATATTGATAACCTAGTGATGATAGATCTATAAAGATGTAACCAAGGTTATTTCTACATTTTATCTATATTTATTACCCCTGCCATCACTATTTTAGGCATATTGTATTGCTTTGATGATTCAATAATTTTAATTATATAATTGTTTTATATGAAAATAATTTTGCTTAATAATGGTTACTTACCCTCTGCTTCGTAAATTGATCTGCCTTCAAGCATAAATTGCAGTATCAGAGCAACAATATTTGAATCATATTCTTTCTTTTGATAATTAGCCCAAATAAATAAAAATAAAGGCATATTTTACTTATCGAGAGCTGCTTTTGGAGGTGTCAGCGAACATAATTAATCTTAGAGAACCTAGTCTCTTTGTAAGATAAAATAACCCTTCTCTTGATTTCACTCTAGTTGATTTCGATGATTTGACTTGTCATAAGTGATTATGCTCGCATTTAAAAGATTTGTTGGTCCTATCATATTGGACCTCTTTTCTTATCTATTTTTGTGAAATCTCATGCACGCAGAGAACACTATCATATCATCATCATTTCCCACACAACATATATTTTAAAATAATATATAGGTGCTTACTCCTTTCTTGTTTGGATCCCACTTTTTAAATTTAGGATGTCATAGATTTACAAATTTCCATTTGGTTCATCCCCAAATCATAGATTAAACTATAAAAGATTATAATCCAATACAATGTATAATATCATAGCCCATAACATGCAAGACATCATTAAATTTGTCAAACTAGTCCAACAATAATCAGAACCCCATAATTTTACGCTACTTGGTGCAACTTTTTGAGAGATCAACTTTCTTAGGAATGCTCCATTATGAGTATTTTTAGATATGAAGTTCCTAATGAAATTTAACCTATCACTCGAAAAGGTGCCTCACATATTTGTTTTGAACATTTACTTGTATAACACTATCATTTTCTCCCCTTATGAAGTGAGTTTTAGTTCATTCTTCCTTCCATTTGTTTTAGATGTCTATCATCTTAGAAGCTTGTTAGAAGCTTCTCCTTGTCAAGGTTTCATCTCTGATGATCAGTTATTACTCTCCTTGGTCCACTTTCTTTGGATTCATAGTATAATCTTCTTTCTAGAAGCCATACACATTAGTTCGGGATAATAATCAAGGTGGTGCTAAGAATTGTGGTGAACACTTAGGATGGCTATAATGATCCTCCTCCAATAGATGAAGGTGGCAAAAATCTTATAATAGTTATAATATTCTTCAACATACCATAGATTTTGAATGCACAAAATAAATAGAATAGGGGACAATATATATAAATATAATATTGTCCTCATTTGTAATATGATAAAATATTCTTTGTGTTTATTGACAATGAATAGAGTATATTACTCATATTATCAAGAAGTAACTATATGATCTTGTCCTTAGGCTTGCTCAGGTCAAGGGAAGCCACAAGTCCTACAGTGGCTAACACTGGCAATTAATATGATCAAGAAATCTAAAAACAATCTTGTAGATCTCAACATTATAATCTATTTGAGATGATTGATCAAAATTTTGATATCGGAATTGCATTAAAAATTGTAGAAACATTTGTCACTAAATTTGAAGTCGCCAAAAAGATATGATTGCATGTCATATCATGTTTTTATAAAAATATCTGTCTTCAACAATAGCCATTAATGACAAATGTCTCATTAAAAGAAGGTTGGTAGAGATTGTTGGAGAGCTCTTAGCTTCTTGTCATCATGATCTTTTCATAATTAGTGCCTGGTCATGATAAGGCTTAGTAGATTTACATTTCCTTTGAATGTTGAGGCAACAAAATCGATGTAAAAGACTACAACATGTTGGTTCAGCTTGTTCAAGGCCTTCTTTTTTTTCAAATTAAGATATTTTTGAAGTCTTTGGAACTCAAAAACTATACTTTTTCAAGAATTTTGCAATGCCAACAAATGCATGCAATCTAATCTCAAGTAACATTGTTGTCATGTCACACAATTTTTCACATGCATAACAAATTTAAGAAGGTCATGAAACAATGGCCGAAATTATGGATAAAGTTTTTTACATAATTGAATTTGATAAATTTTTTTTTTTTATGTTTTGTTTTCTTTTGTCAAAGATGAATGATAATTTATAAATTATGTAACTCAAATTAATAATTTATTAAAAATGCCTTATATTTTAATCATGGTAAAAATTTCGATACATCGTCTCTGTAAAACTCTTTTAGCTGAACAATGTTTAAAAGAAAAAAAAAAAGAACTTGAGCACGTTGCCAGTCTAACTGGTGGAAAAGTTGTTACGCGCGATCACCAGACCATACAGAGTCCAATCAGGATTCGCCACGTTACCCGTTATATAACGATACACAGTAACGATACATAATAAATTGGTGACATGGCGTGTTATGATTGACCTCCGTACGATGCCTGGTGACTGCACATAATAATTTTGCCTAATTGCTAACATATTTGACATGACAACCTAGTCGTCGCTTAAAGTGGGGATAACCTAATTTTATATCTATATTTTAATTTTGTCCCAACGGTTGACTAACCAATTAAGGAAAAAAATCTTTCATTAAATCCATCATTTCACTCTTGTTTTTCTTTTCTTCTTCTCTTCTCCTAAGCATTTGCAAAGTTTTGTGGTCTTTTCTCTTCTTTCTTTCAAGAGTTGCTTTTATCTTTCAGGTTAGCTAACATATACAAATTAGGGGTTGTTTGGTTTATGATATTTAACATGTACAATAAAGTAAACACGTGTTTCCAATTTTTTCCATTTGTATCGATGTAAAGAAAATGCACAAAAATAAAATATTCAGATCTCATTATGCCGTGTATTTGTGTTGTATTTGAAACCCATTAGAATCGAATGAGTTCCAAATACATCAAATCTCCCTCATGCAAAAAATTTGAGGAATCCTCAACTATTTGGCTCCTACAGGCGTTCATCCTTTGCTTTCATAAAAACTATATTGTTGTCTCCCTCCCGCAAAATCTAGCTCTTGAAATTTTCTTCGCAACTTGCATCGTTCCCACCCACACCACTCTCTTCTTCATGTGAAATGCTGGCCACGACATATGTTGTTATTTGACTTCGCGTAGTTTGTAGTCGACTCCTTCCACTTGACTCGGCAGTTGTCTCAACCCTTTTTAAAGGTTTTTGTTCGCTTCTTTGTGCCCATTTCAAACTTTTACTGCTACATTTAATGTATATTTCTTCCCTATTTAGTCCAAGTATTATGGAATCAAGATGCATATAACAAGTAGTAGCCACTTCCTAGTCCAAAACATGGATATAAAAACTAAATTATGTAAAATTCTCGGAGAGATTATTATGTGCGGTCACGGACCGTCCAGAGGCCAATTAGTATATGCCATGTCACCCAATGCACAACGATATATAGTAAACAATACACATTATATTGATGACGTGATGCATCCTAACTGGCCTCTGAACGACGTCCTATGACTGCTAGTAATAATTTCACAAAATCTTAACAGTACATCTACTCATTTACACATTTGATGTAACTGTAAATTTAATATTTTTGAGGAAGGAAGTTAATATTAACCCAAATTAAGTGGAAAACGTAAAAGATAACCTATAGAAATTACTACCTAGATCAAGTGTTTCATTCTTCAATTTGGTTAACCTACAAATATAATAATTAGAAAAAAG